AGTCCAAGCCCACCAGCTATGGTGGCTGGGCTATCGCGCTGCCCTCAGCAGCGCCCTTCTTCCCTGCACGACCGCCCATGCTGCACCTGGCCTCTCAGCGCCAGCAGCAGCCCACGAGCCTTTGCTCCAGCAGCGCTGCCGCTAGCATGTGAGTGCCTGAATGAGGCTGAAAGTGGCGAGCGCTTTCCTATATGGAAAGAGCCTGCCTGCTTCGCAGCCTGGCTGGACTTGGCCTGGGCCCAGAAGCTTCCGGTAGGCCCCAGGATGCTGCGTGCTACTTTGCAGCTACTGGGCCTCTTTCGGTTTGGCCTCCCAACTGTCAGTGTATCAGGCTGTGTTTCTCGTCCAGGGCCTGCATGCTGAGGAAAGGCCCAGAAGGCCGTGGAAATGTCTTGGTTGCTCGGCCTGTGTCACTCAACCAACTGGCATGTCGCAACTGCCTGGAAATATGAAATTGACAGTCAAAGGCCTCTTGTGATAAATTAGGCCCGCCTTCACTTAGGGCGGGCACCACTGCGACCGGGGCCCCTTAGGCCTGCGGAGGACCCAAATTGCAATAACTTCATATATAACTTAAAAGTTCGAACTCTGCAGTTCAATTCAGAACGTCAGAGTCTTAAGTTCATAAGTTCATATCATAGTTGCCGCGCTCCTCGGTGCGCGGATTTCGCACTTATTGCGCACCGCGCGCAGCGCACCCAAGCGCACCGCACTGTAAAAATTAGGTCCAAAAAAAAAAAAAAAAGCAGGGGTTTAGTAATTCCTTAGGGTCCCCAACTCGGCAAAAATGTTGAACGCACCAAGCCAGCTCGCAAACAGGCTGTGCCCCCAGCCCAAACTTTTTTTTTGGGCAAGGGCTGCCGAATTTCAATCTCCGCAGGCCCTACCCCCAGAAGTTTCAAAATGGCAAAGCGTAAAATACGCCGCATTCCAACTTTTTTCTTGGGCGGGGTATGGAAACTGGCCTTCCCCCTCCCTTCTGCAAATCCCACGCAGTGGTGGGGTAAGTTCACAAGAAGGGGGTAGTCGCCTACAGTCTTCCCCCGAATACAACGTACGGTCATTATAGCTGAATTTGGGCTATATTTCAGTCTAAATTCATCTATAATGACGGTACGTTGTATTCGGGGGAAGACTCTGTAGTAACGACCTGCCCCGCAAACTTTGCAGAAGTCACAACTTGCATTTCCACGGTTGGCCGACTACCAATATATGCTGAAGATTGGCGTTCAGGTCTGCATGTCGGCAGTTATGGGTTAGGATGAAGATGCCCGTAGCTCTCTTGGTTTTTTGTTTTTGTTTTCTTATGAATACGTGGAGTGGGGCCTGCTCCACTGCTCACCACATGCACAAAAGAAATAGCATATGGCGGTGTATGTTCCCATGTTTTAGCAGAAGATTCATTCTACTAATATTGTATACATTTGGTGCGTGGTGGAGGGAGGCCCTGAGAATCACGTGGAGACGCGAACAGGCTCTAGCTGAATTGGTGACCCATAACTGCTGCGGTACAGCCTTGAACTCGAATCCCAAGCAGATATTGGTGGTCTGCCCCACCTCTTCCACAGATGACGAGACCATCCTCCTAATTGAAGCAGTGGCCCTCGATGACTCCACATGTAACGTAGAAGTCATTCGAGGTACCTGCAGGGCCCCGCGAAATGATGTGAAGGGGACCCTTTGTTATCTCTTTTCTCTCTCTCTCTCTCTCTCTCTCTCTCTCTCTCTCTCTCTCTCTCTCTTCTCTCTCTTTCTCGGGGGCCTGTTTTTTTTTTTTTTTTTTTTTTTTTTAATATCATGCACAGGGTGCCCCTCCCTCAGCGCGCGCCCCGCCCTGCGCCCGGCGCACAGTGCGCGCGCTGTCATTCCAGCGCACAGCGCAGTGCCTGTCTCTTATACACATCTAGATGTGTATAAGAGACAGACATGTAACGTAGGAGTCATTCGAGGTCCCTGCAGGGGCCCTCGAATTGACGTTAAGGGGACCCTTTGTTCTCTCTCTCTCTCTCTCTCTCTCTCTCTCTCTC